CAGGAAAATCGCGTTGTTCCACGCACCGTACCGCGTAATATCGACCATACTTAGCGGACACGTTGGGCGGAACAACGCTTGATCGTCTTCGCTCAATTTTCTCGTTAACAACAGCAGCAGCTTTGCGTTACATTACCAAGTTTGAATCTCGCCAGAGTTACCAACTGCTCTCACTTATATATTTGGCCTTTCAAGGCGAATATTAAAATAGACTGTCAGTCTCCTTCCAAATCCTTGACTATAATTTATAATAATATCTGCATCTCTTTCGAAGTTATATAAACCTCTGCAGATAAGAAAAAATTTAAATAGCGAAATCGATGGCTTTCGTGGTCTCCCTGAGAATATTGTCTTAAAATAGGCCACGACCTAATCAGCTTTCCCTCCTGACTTACCAGTCATAATCATTCTCCTTCCCGATTTCCACTCCTTAATAGATTTCTCGGAGTTTTCCTTCGTATTTCCAGTCAAATGCGATTATGGAGGCTGTAAGTAACTCTGAAACGTCGGTAAACTTCTATCAGAATACACAGTGCAACAGCAGAGAAGACAGCCACCTTCAAATTCATTTAATTTCAACTTTGGACATTAATTAAGAAGGATGTTCGTAGTTTTAGAGCTTAAATTAAAACATGAACAAGTTTTTGGATTTGGGGCTGCTATTAATTCATAAATTCTGTCAAAGAATATTCTTTGAACGGAAGAGAACCTTCTTTTGTGAAACCGAAGTTTAAATAGTATTATTGGGATATTATTATCATCATCATCAGTGGTTCGATGGGACGCTGGAGCAGGATGTGACGTCACCGGAGGCGGCAGGGGGTGGAGTTACTGATGTGTACGCGGCGTACTCTGGCGAGCAGTTGGACAATTCTGGGGGAGGCTCCAGGGTGCTCCTGAGGAAGCTGACTCCTATCGTAGTGCCCGATAACGAGACGGACGGACTGGTGCACGACAGCAGCGAGCAGAACTCGGTGAGTGCGTCAGGAAGGTAGGATGATTGCCCCTTTGAAACGCGAAGATCGTATAAATAACATTTTAAGAATTCAGTCCGTACCGCGAAGAAAACACAACTGGTTAACGCTGATTAAGGAAATAATCGTCGAATTCATCAAAATAGTTAATTGATCTAACGAAAATTCTGTGCGCATTTATCATGTTTCCCGTGCCTGCTACGTACCCCGTAAATTCCTTTCCTCCTTTGTTTGATAAACCTAATAATATTTTGTGAATATTTCAACTCTGGTTTTCATTATACGGGTTTCTCCGGTCTCCTGTCGCTTCATAACTTGCGTTTCACACGTCAGCATCCGAGGGGCGAGAGATGATGAATGTAAACACGTGGCCCCGTTTTCACAGTGAGGCTTCTGCAGAAATGTTCAGCGTTTCAATTCGGTAATTCAATAGCACCGCAACATAAAAAAAAACATTACGGGTCAGAGAATAATGTTCACGCACTGTAAATGGTGTCGACTTGTTCTTCATACGCACAGGAAACCAAAATATTCCAGCCGAGGTAAAGAAACATGAATCCAGTTTGGAGTACGCATTTGTGTATCTGAAAACTATTTTCTTTGCGAGCATTTTAACCGTTTTAGATTTTCATGTTCTGCAAAGAAATACGAAGGAATTCTTACACTCCGTAGGGCCTCTGGTACGCTTAAAACATAAAAGCGAAATTTTTAAGTCCGAACCCCTTCAAAATAATATTTAGTATTTCAGTCCGTACCGCGAAGAAAACACAACACTTCACCATTACAAAAATCAATTGGTTGACCCTTTTAAGAAGAGAGAGAGAAAGAGGAAATTGGTGGGGGGAGAAGTGAGAGACACTTCGATATCTGGGGGGGAGAAAGAGCATCTTATAGCTAGAAGGTCCCCAGGCAATGCCCGCTCGTCCTTCTGTTAAGGATAAAGTAAGAGTGAAGGCGTTAGTGTGATGATTGGCATAAAAGACGGAATTTTGAAATTTTGTATTAGCGAAAGCTGAGGCTATTAATTTGGAAGTTTAATACATAATTTAGAAGTTCCTACTGAGGGGAGGGGGGTAAATTTTGACGGCGTTAAGGGGTGGTATAGACCCTTTGAAGCTCATCTAAATAATATTTAAAGAATTCAGTCCGTACCGAAAAGAAAACACAACGCTTCACCATTACAAAGATCAATTGGTTAAACCTTTTAAAGAAATAATCCGTGGTCTGTGAGAATCATAATGAATGCACTCTATAGGCAAAATGCACAATTACGTACAAAATATTATGAATGTGGTATATATAATTACCAATGGGATTTAAAGGATTAATGGCCGGAACATTGGTCGGCACACGTTACACCATACTACGTCATTTTCATCAGCGTGGCTTCCTCTGTCCGCTTGGCACTCACCGACGGCCTCTTTAAATGAGGCTACAGGAAGGAAAGTTCGTTATGAATAGATAAGTGCACAGAATTAATTGTTAAGTTTTCTTCGTTGTCCTCCAATTCTACAATTTCTTTGAGCACAATCCTAGGTTCGGTAGTGTAAATTGGTCTTTCCACCCATTCCTATTTTCGGTTTTCTCCAAGAGTATGAATACATTAAACTTGTGGCACATTTGTGAGGTACTTGGTTCTCACGGAGGTGAGAATGACGTTCTTGTGGGTTGTGACGTAGGTAGGTATCTAACTAGAACTGGATCCACCGATTATGGCCGCTGACCTTGTAGGGAGTGCCCAGTATGCGGACCACTCAATGAAGGAAGGAATTTTTCGTCGGTCAGTATAGTCCGTGTCAGTGCAGCAATGTAGAAGCCTGATAATTGTAGTCTTGTGACTGTGCTGTGTTGACAACATGCCACCTATTCGTTGCAATATCCTTTCTGGTCACTAAGTCAAGTTTCGGCACGCTTATGTTATGTTACATACGGTTTGGTAATTTTTGCAAAACAAAACCTAACCTAAAATAACCCAATTATAAAGGGTTTTTGACGACGGTAGTTTACACTTAAAATTATTCTTTGTCAGGACTTTTGCCATCGTCTGTTCTTTAAAATCACGACGTTTCGGAGGCTGGTTCTGTGTCCAGTGACAAAGAATAATTTTAAGTGTAAACTACCGTCGTCAAAAACCCTTTATAATTGGGTTATTTTAGGTTAGGTTTTGTTAAGTTAGTTTAGGTTAGGTTTAGTTAGGTTAGATTAATTTGTTACATTGTGTAACGTGTTGAAAATATTCATTATGTTACTTACAGTGGTGATATTTTATTTGGAGTGTTCTGTACGCGGCCTGCTGCCATCCCTTTGAGCAAACTTCTCATAAGTGACTCGCTCCGAGGTTCCAATTCACAAAGTTCAGCGGCAAAAAACGCTGGAACTCTGTATAAGTGTGTACGCCGTGGCACAAACTAGTTTACAGACACTGACCAAATGGCATACCATGAGTCGTCTTTCTTTACAAATTAAGGAATTTATGCCCCAAAATGGGTTCATGACACTAAGCATATATATAAATCAGAAAGTACTTCTCTCATTCATTATCATCTATCTTAAACATTTTTAAGTTTTTGTAGTTTAAGAATATTAATTTAACAATAAACTATGTTTATCAAAGGTGGCCAAAGGTTAGGTTATAACAGTGTGTATGTGACAGGTGGTGTTTGTGGCGGATGGATCAGGGTATGTGCCCATTGGTCAGCTGCGCTCTCATCCTGGGCCACATCCAGATGATTTTGACTATCACCATGTAGCACCTATCGAGGCTTGGGACAGAGACTACAGCCGATGGCGCTCCAACACAACCCGTGTGCAGCGTGAGTTCATGCCAGTCTTCCCTTGAAAATTAGATGTAGTTCATTTTATCCTTACTTTAACAGTGATGAAAAGGCAGTAATGCAATCTGATGGATCCAATGTCTCTGTCCGTTTGGTAGTCTTATGTGGATGAGAAAATGTCTGTTACTTTATTTTATATGTTTTTTTTTCTTTTTATTTCCATACAGATATTGAAGCAGAATGTCAAGATGATTACATGAAGATCCGCATCGGTTTCAATGGCTCCTTTACCGGTCTGCTCTATTCTTCAGGTAAGTCTATAATGCAAAAAAATATAATCCAATAGAAACTTTGTACACAGCAAAATCTACAACTGATTTATCATTCTACAAACAAATAACTCTTAACATTTAAGATTAGTTAAGATTAGCAGCAGAAAAATTAATGTATAACATGCCAGCATTGATTACATTAACTCCCATTGCTTTACATAAAGGCTACTCGTACGACCCAGACTGCGTCTATATCAACGGCACGGGACGGGATTATTATGAATTCTTCATCCAGCTGAACAGATGCGGAACACTGGGAAGAAACACTCATCATGAGGACAGTAGGAAGGCTCCGACAGTAAGCTAATGACACCTTGAACTATTACTACGATGATCATTAAGTAATATAGCTCACTGTAACAAAACATTGAGATAAGATAGGTTATGTGTGTCCACCTGCAAGTCCAGATGACATTGTGTCATATTGGTGTTGCAGAAGAACTTCATGTGGAACACCGTGACGGTGCAGTACAACCCGCTCATCGAAGAGGAGTGGGACGAGCACTTCAAGGTCACGTGTGAATATGGCTATGACTTTTGGAAGACTGTCACCTTTCCGTTCCTAGATGTGGAGTAAGTACAGTTGTACTCAATGTGTGTCTGCGCTATATTTAACCATTTTATAGCCATCTGTAAATATTGACATTTGATTTTGTATGCGCTCACCAATCATATCGAGACTACTCCCTGGTTATTTGGCTAATTAGATACTGTATGATGCTGTATCGACTGCAATTTGACTGCATACTTAATATACAGAACATTTGAAGGGTTGCTTTTACTCCACCTTCAGGGTAGGTTGTCATTGTATTGACAGTCCTTTTGGATAGTAGGCTAGTACACTAATCACTTGACCACTGTGATGGTGTACGGTGCGTAAAAATAAAACATGACAGTGAGCTCTTACAATTTTAAAAATATTTTAAAAATATTAACAAAAAGGGCTCAGGAGTTTAGGAAGACCTCTGATGTAATGGAATGATTTATTTCATAATACCCACAGTAGTAAGTTTAATACTGGAAAGAATGATGATGATGATGATGATTGGAGGGTAGCTAGATATTAATTCTAGGAAGAAGATGAAAACTTTGTGTTTCAGTTTTTAGAAGATAAAACCAGATCTTTCATTGCTCACTTTTCTCCTTTCTTTCAACAACTGAATGTTCACATTATATTTTATTATTTGAAATATTACAGAGTGGCGACAGGCAACCCTGTTCTATTCACCCTGTCACCTCCCGAGTGCTACATGGAGATTAGGCATGGGTACGGCACTTCAGGTACACGTGTCGGGGGTCCAGTCCGCGTCGGAGATCCCCTCACTCTCATAATCTACATGCGCAGCAAATATGGTGAGTGAATTATTGTCAGTCTAGTTCTACAACTGCGGTCAACATTTGGTTAACTTTTTCATTTACATTCTTAATATTATCATCTTGCAAAGAAGAAGAAAATCTATACTCTTTTTTGCAGGACACTTAAATGATAATTTTAGAAACGGCTGGCGATTTCTAGTCCATCTACCACTTAAACTTATTAATTTGTATAAAGTGAAGCTTTCATGGCGACCGAAGTTGATGAAAGACTCTCGGGCAACAAGCCGCGGCTTGTTGCCCGAGAGTCTTTCATTATTAATTTGTATCCTGACAAATGAAATCAAAATAATTTTCTTATTTCAGATGGTTTTGACATTGTGGTTAATGACTGCTTTGCGCACAATGGGGCCACTAAGAAGATCCAACTCATTGACCAGTATGGGTGAGCATCTCGTTTATGTATCCTTTCCATTTATCGCGATTTATTATGAAGATAGCTGTTGTCTGAGCTGTAGCGCTACGAGAATTGGATTTATTACATTTGTACTTTTAGTACAGAATTGCCCTAAAACAGAACATGGAAACACAGGCACAAATAAGGATTGGTATCACTGACTTAACCTTTAACAGATTTGTGTGATAAACTTTTCTTATATGTTACATATAAATTCAATGTGTTATAAAGTTCAAATTTATGTCTATCTTTGTCAATGTTGGCATTCTGACCTTCTGACTTGCAGGTAGGTAGCAATATTTTGGAGGAACATACTACCTCCATCTTCAGGGGTGAAGATGCAGGATGTTCCTCCAAAACATTTATATCTGTCCACAAATCCTCATGGCATTACTATCCATAAGACCAACATTGACATATTCGCCATTGTGACATCCTCACATCTCACGCATATTTATTTATTTATTTATTTATTCAGGCTTTTAATTATAAGGACACAGGTATTTATCAAAGATACAAATACAACATTCTTGTGTCACAGATGCCCTGTAGATGACAAGTTGATAAGTCGGTTCCGTGGGTCTTGGAGTGAGAGCGGTGTGTTTGAAACACAAGTGTTTGCCTACATGAAGACCTTCCGCTTTACCGGTTCCCCAGCACTCTACATTGAGTGCGATGTGCGAATGTGCCATGGGCGATGCCCAGTAAGTAGATATTACAATGTATGCACTGAATAGCTGTGACATGTCCAGCTTTTATTCATGCTGTACCTAGTTTGAAAATTTGTCAAATTACCCACTATAGTGCCTTGTGGATTTATCTGCTTTTCAGTAATCCTTAAATGCAAAACCAAGGATAGTATCTTACGTACACCATTTTCACTTTCGTCCATATTCTTTTAAAATTGTTTTTCTTATCCTTTATTGTCTGCATGCTGCAAATTTTATGTCTGATCCATCTAACCATGTGTTACATTAGCATACCACTATACCATTAACCTTGGTATTAGCGTGCAGCCGAGGTCCCTGTTATGGGGGTTTACATCCACTGTTCCCATATAACAAAGTTTAATCACTGTTTTCACATTCAGCACTAAATAACTGCTGAGGTTAACCAATTACCATTACGTATTACATGAATCAACCTTAATCTTTGTTGACCGTGCGATCATGGCTTACACATAATTCAAATGACTCTGCATCACAGTAGCGTATGACTAAACCATTAACCACCAAAAGTGTGGTTGAAAGCCATGCAGTATGGGGGTTTAAATACTGTATTAATAGATGATAGGGGTTAAATATATGCACTATAATATTCTAGATAGGATGGAACACGTATGTTTTGCACGTTACAGAGCCAGCCCTGTCACTGGCGCAATGCCAAGTCCCTAAAAAAACGTTCTGTGGATACCACAACGCTAACCCCGCCACCTCACGCCTTGTCCGAGAACGTGAGTTTATTCCAGTCACTGCGTGTCATACAGGATGGTGAGAATGCTGACGCAAGTTCATCACCTAGCAACAGTAAGTTGGCAATACACTAAAATTTTTTTTTTACAACCGTCCAGACCTTCTCGAGTGAAATCACATTCACGGTTAAACTGATTTGAATTGAAATAAAAATAATATCTTCCGCAAGTTAATCAGATTCATCATTATTACTTATCTTTATCTATTATAAATTCAGTAGTAACTCGAAACACTGCCATGGCTACCCGAGTTAGATGATACGAATGGCTCACAGTGTTTTATTTATTTCATAACTGGATAGTTTAAACACTGTTTGAATTAAAATTAATTTTACCAAATAGCCAAAGTTTGCAGTACTCGAATCATGTCCTGAAACTAAACAGACAAAAGTACATTAAGTAAGGAAAAGAGAATGTTCATATATTTTCATATTCTATTTAATCCATGTTTATTTACATGTTTATGTATGTGTATACTCATAAATTAGTGAAGGATATATTATAATAATTATTAGGAATAAGCAAACTGTTTGTGTAGCGCGGACTGGGGTTTTTCAAGTCCGAAGATGCGTGCCAATTATTACTACTACATTTGTACAAATGAAGAACTCATAGTCTGAATTATTATTTAGATGAACTTCAGCTTCAATGATTTAACTTGACACGCTGCATCTCCTCATGTTTCAGGCACGCTTTCTGAATCTAACGGCGTGTGTCTGAGGACTGGTGCCTTTTCAGCACTGCTTGGTGAGTATCATTCCTTCTGGTCAGTCATTTTACGTTATTGATTTATTCTGTTGAAAGTTTTACAGATTCATTGCAATGTATGTGTGTAAAAGAACAATGGCTCTTTTCTTCTTATTCTACAATTCCAGTTATTACTTCACATATTCATTCCATCTTCTATAAGGTCTTCGTTGGTCTCAGCAAACCTTTTGGTTCATACTGCAGAATCTGCCAAGTATTCTTTCACCTATAATTTTATTCCAGTGGTTTATTCAACTTTGTCTGTCTTCATCTATTTAATTTTATGCTGATTGTATTTTCAATAATTTCCTAATGTCTTCTTCATTCTTAATATTGTCTGTTTTATATATATCAGTCATACATACAAGTTATAATAAAAGTACGTACTATGTAGTGTGTTGTGATGTGTACAGGTCTTGGCTCTGTCCTGCTTTGTCTTCTGAGTCTTTGTGTCATGGTGCTCTGTTGTCGTCTCCATCGCTTGAAGGTGGCAACACTGGAGAAAGATGCCATCTCAACATCTGACCCCCCATCAATATTTGACCACACCGGCTTCATGACGCACAAAGGACGCATAAACTGAGAGCTGAAGTGTTACGTATTTAAGTTTTCAGCTCCGTCCTCCCACTTTGAAACGTGCGCTTGATTGTGCATAAGCGTAACTTGCCGAACTGTGCACATCTGGCTTCAGAGTGACGATGAAGTAGAACTTTCAGATGGACCAGCTATTGGATAATGAAACAGTAGGTTGCCTGTGACCCCTTCACATAAATTGACAGATATGACCTCCCATTTATGAGTTTACTTTATGCAAATAATACATGCAGAAGCAACAGGAAAGCAGTAATTTCTGTGTTACAGTGCATTCAAGAGGAAAATATGTTTGATACATGCTGCCCCTCATTGTATAACTCACTTTTGATGGCGTAATCCTGTTGATTTGTTCCGTAGCTTTTATTGTCCCACACACACAGTGCCACTGCTGGTCAGACAATGTAACTAACTATTTAACAGTATCCTAGTGCAATGCATGGCCAGCTGGACTGTTAATGAGAGACATAAATGATAAAGGTTAACTTAATGCTGTCATGTATGTGAATTTCAGAAATCTTCAATTTCCAGCCTGTCCTTTAATGCATTCTTTCTCTATCTTGTAATATACCTATGGTCACTATTTAGTAACTTCATGTGTTGTCACGTTCTGTCTCCATTTTGTTTTGTTATTGACAAAAGGCAGAATAGGCTAGAAGGTGAAAGCCAGCTGTCATACAAGAGCAGGATTCCTCCTATCAATTTTTTACATAATGGCTGTTTGCAATACTAATATATTAATTTATTTGCTCCCAAAAAGAGTGTACAAGTTGATGTTCAAAGTAACTGGTCCATTTGGAAGTTGAGTGGGAGATGGTTCTTATTTATTTCTGAAGAAACACATTACCTGGACTTCAGATGGTATGAATCAGACCTGAGATTCAGTCTTCGGAGTAGACAGTGCAGGGTCATAGGATAAGCGTTAACACATTCATGTTGCCTTGGATTTCATGTCCATTTCCATGTGTGTGTTGCAATTTATAAACATTTTCTCCACCTAGTATACTAACTGTTGGTCACAAGTGGGGAAGAGACTTCATCTTGTATTTAGATAAATGCAGAAGATGAGAAAGGTATAATATTTTCCTTTTTTTTGACTCTGCTATAATTAAAATCCACAGATTCCTGGTCTCGCATATGCCCATAAAATCACAGAATATTAACTACATTTTACTATGTTGAATGTTCCTGCCACATTTATGTTCATTACATTTCACTGCAGAGTCTTAACGTTTTTCGATAATTGCGTATGATAACAACTTTTATACATTGTCCATCATCTCAACATAAAGTTATGAACGATGTCCAAAATATCAGTCATGTTGATTACATTCTACTGCATTTAATGTGGGAAAGGGTTAAGCACCACGTGCTCATTTGTTACAAGACTTATATGTGAAAACATGAATGTTGTTTTGAATTATGAGTTTCAGTGTTGTGTCTTCGAACAAATTGACTTTTGGATGTAGTTACTTGAAGAAAAGCTCGGAGGACAGTTTTTTTTTTTTTTCTCCAGCTGGTCTCCACAGTGTTTGACCTGTGTACATAAGACTCGTAGATCAAGTGGTTTGTGGGTTGAGTGACATGAAGCAGACTGCTCTCATCAGCTTGCACTGTCAGCCACGTCTGTGAGACTACTCTCTGCTCGCTAGTTGAAATTTCTTTACAGGGCATACACAGTATGTTCATCCTTTACATTTTAAATGTTTAGATGTTTTAAGAGCTCGGTTCTTCTATATTTTAAAATACAATGTACAGTGTATAATTCTTATGCACAGTTAATCCAAATACCATCTTCTCGTGATGAAATTCTTTCAGGCGATCATCCACGCCAATTTGGAGCAGACGTCTGTTAAGTACCTAACCTAACATTTACAGTTGTTTACCTCATTTCTCCAATCCCAGTGACCACGTGGTCACTGGGACCGTGGGTTCGAATTCCACTCAAGCATGGATGTTTGTCTGCGTCTTTCTGCGTTGTGCTGTCCTGTGTACAGGTAGAAGCCTTGCAACAGGCTGATCACTCATCCAAGGAGTCCTATCAACTGTCTAATAGATCAAAGCCAACGAAAGTTGGGACCTGCAGATGCTCAAGGCACTGAAGAACAGGTCGCCTAAGTATCTCCAATCTTGCTCCATGATTTGTGTAACTGTCTGATGCTATATCACCTATTTTGTTGGTATTTTACAGATGGGCGTTTGTAAATGCCACAGTTGTGTTGTAACAGCTATAGTTGAAGAGAGAGTCTGTTTGTATGCCACAATATTGGCTGATGTTTGTACACCTTATTGTCTATAAAATAAAAATTGTCAGTGACAGAATTTTCTTATTTCAGTGTCATGCTGCATCTCTTGGTTTGGATAATTTATTAATTAATGATATCCTAATTGCTAAAGTTATTTAACATTGTATGGTCCTCTTAAAATAAGCAGATGGCAAAGAGGTCTTGAGTTGCTTCAAGGTACGAACGAGTCAACATCCAATTGGAGTGACAGAAAGAGTAGGAAGCATCAACAAGGGGAGTTGGAGCCCTGGCCAGTGTTCACGGTACGCTATACCCTGACAGGTTGTGGGATGTTACCTGGAATGGAAACCATATTTAAGTAACAAAAGGATAAAATGAAAAAGGTTGAGGAGTTGGATTTCTGGGATGTATGAGGCAGGGGTCAGGGTGGTAGGTACAGGCTACTCGCCATGTCCAGAAGTCAGGTTCAGTATTAGGATAAAATGGATTTATATGAACACCCGATCATATTTTAATACATGTATTTCAAGACTACATATTCGATCATGTCAATGACAGGAATAAATGTATACAGCATGTAATTTATTTTTCTCTTAACACTGGATATTGAACATGTCACGACATGATAAAGAAATTTGGGGTAAAACATAACAAATTAATAATTATAAACATTTACTCTTTAAACTTAATTACTAAAGCCGAACTACATTTGAAAATAAGAGGCAAGTTGCATACATAGAATGCTGTAAGTCTTGTTAGCCCATTTCAAGCAGTGCAATTTCTTGCGTGAAATTAAATATCCTGTACGTTCATTCTTTCTCTCATGGATTGATAACTTGCAAGTTTATTAGTATTTCTGAGCACATTTGAGGGTACTAGATCTTGGGCTCAAATTTCAGCCTGGAGACTGCTATTCTTAGGGTTTTTGGGGTTTTACTCAGCGTAGAAAAAATGTCAAGCTTCCTTCCACAGCATTTCCAATTCATTATTCTCTGATCATGCTATTGTTCAAAGCTATAAAGAATGTCCATAACAAAATTAAATGACATGTTATGGAAGGATGCCTGGAAGTTTGAAAGTGGCATTCATGTGCTGCTGTGGGGGGAGGCATCAAGGTCTCCTGACCTTAGCCCTATGGATTTCCAATTTTTTTTTTGGGGGGGGGGGGGGATCCCCAATAAATCTCAAGTTTATTAAGGGAAAACTTAAAACAGAGAGCGTTACTTAATGCATTTATGTAACAGTTAGCTGCTTTAGATGACAGTTATGTTGTTATGTTCATTTTAACTTCAGACATAACATGGAAAAATATTTTGCGGAAGGCAGAAAGATCATACCAGAACTATGTTTTCATTTTGTAAATTTGTGTTGCCTTATTTTTAAAATATTTCAATGTGATTTTCGTATTGGTTGTATATTTATAACTATGCAAACCCACTGAGCTACATTTTAGACCGAGATACGCATTTGTGCATCCTACCACTGCACACACACACACACGACATTTGGCACTGAAATTTAATTTTCTAAATCAGGACTTGTATTATTTTCTAAACACTTTAAGCATTTTAATACATTCAACATCATTTTATTGTGATCAGTTTTCCCCAGTATCCTTTCATTTCATCCTTACCAATTCCAAATATTCTCCATAATGCGGGACACCAAGTTTCAGGTTCACGCTGCCATTCTTAACTGCCTAAGCATAATTAATAACCTACAGATCAACATTATTATTCCTGTTATACATTACAATTTTCTTCATATAGTTTAAAGTACTAAAAGATCGGGGCTAAACGATTAATTACTTTAAAGCTGTATGTACGATTAAAGTTGAAGGCCATGTCATGGCACAGGCAGTTGGTTGCCATCTTCTCACTACAGACCTGGGTTCACTCCCAGGGCAGTCCACGTGGGATTTGTGGTGGACAAGGTGGCATTGGCACAGCTTTTTCTACAAGTCCCTGTGTTTCTCCCTGTTATTATCATGCCACTGATACACCATTTTATTCATGTATCATCTGAGGGACAGACAATGGGCCCATTAGTGGATGAAATTGCATAGACACATTTCACCCCACCACAAAAAAAATATTATTAAAAAAATATGCTGTTTACAAATGTAAATGATTTGCCTATCAAGAGACTTTTTAGACAATACCATATATTAGATACAGATAATACACATATTTCAAATATTAATAATGGGTTTGATAATATACTTCTACTAACATATGCCTGTTTCTGGAATACACAAATTTTTGCCAGTCAGACTCCTACCACGTTTCTTTTCAGTTTCATGTGACATCATTGGAATTTGGAGTACTGGAACTACATAACGATACCAAGTCTTGAAGAGGCATAGACCTGTCATGTAATCCCTTTTACAAGGAACTTCGGGTCAGAGTTGCAGCCCGTTAGGACTGACGTGAAAGACAACTGCTGCCCATATGTACATAAATTGTACACGTGTTCCAGTATTCCTTCACTTTGTAGTACAGTCTGAGCCCAGTCTGTAACAACAAACGTTTTCCTAAATCTGTTTCAGACACAATATCCACAAAAAGGTAACTCGACTGTAAGTCACGTATCATCAGTGTTCATGAATCACAAGTGATTCTGACTTGCCAAATGTAATAAGTCATTATAATGTAAAAGTTCAGTCTACTGATCCAAGGCCCTGTGGGTACGAGAGTGTCTTATAAAATTGGCATGTTGCGAGAACCTATGGTTGCATATTTCACATTTATAAGGTTTTTCTCCTGTGTGGATACGGCCATGATCACGGAGCATCCCAACTTGAGCGAACCTTTTGCCACATACGGTACATTCATAGGGTTTCTCGCCTGTGTGAGTGCGTGAATGGCAAACAAGTTGTGCTCTTTGTGCAAACTGTTTGCCACACACATCACATTTAAAGGGTTTTTCTTTACTATGGATACGCATGTGAGTCTTTAGACCACAACTGGTTGTAAAGTATTTGCTGCAAACATCACACTTATAAGGTTTCTCTCCAGTGTGTGTGCGCATGTGAAACTTCAATACTCCAGGCAACGTGAATCTCTTGCCACAAACGTCACATTCATATGGCCGTTCGCCAGTGTGTGTACGATAATGAGACCGCAGCTGTGCCTTCTGTGCGAACTGTCGGTTACAGACAATACATTCATAAGGTTTCTCCCCAGTGTGAGTGCGTGCATGACAAGCGAGTTGACCGCTCTGGGCAAATTGTCTTCCACACACATCACACTTGTATGGTTTTTCTCCAGTGTGTACCCGCGCGTGTGTTTTCAGACTTCCGCTCTGATAGAATTCCTTACCACACACTTCACATTTGAAGGGCCGCGGTCCTTTGTGGATACGGGAATGTTCCCTAAGGTGGCGAGCGTTCTTGAATGTGTTACCACATACACCACACACATGGATTTTGTTTTGTGAAAACTTATCATCATTCTCACTGGCTTTACTTCCAACGTGTTCTGTCACGTGTCCACACTTTGTACAAGTGGAGGCTTTTATTCCTGCTTCACTGGTGATCCTGGTTACACCACCACAAATTCTGCACTCATTCTCAGTTTCATGTTGTGTTGGAATAATTCCACTAGGAACCACCTCTCCATAACTTGAGAAGTGCTGCAAACTACGAGAAGAGAAGCAAAAGAACATTACATGTCTAGCATTACATATACCTCCAATAATTATAATTACTAAAATTTTAGGGAAACAAGCTCATTAATACACATACCAGTACCACACCCTGCTAATAAAGTTAGATTATTCCTTACCAGCCATGCACTCATTTAAGAGTAAAAACACTGAAACAAATCCTGAAGAAATAGAAGGTACATACCAAACACTATTTTATAAACAACAGTATTCTTCGGTCACCCTGTTTTTCCACAGGCAAACTACAGTAAAATACACACAACCATTAATTCATAAAGTTGCGCTAGAAAAATATCACACTTAAGATGGTAAAGTTAAGGGGGAAGTTGAGGTAAAGCTCCACATATTCTTAACCTTGGCATAGATGCTGAGAGGTCAACTTCACACCCTAGTTCACACTTTAGATATCAACTAGGAAATGGGTGCAAATATTTTAATCCAGTAGTTCATTATTATTATTATTAGTGTTCTGTCTGACGACAGGTCCATATGAACAGGATCCTTCCATCCTTTTCTCGGACTGGGACCTGTTCATATACGTTCCTGGCAGATGATCCAGAAGTGGTTTGCCATTGCCTTCTTCTGTGTGTGAATGGAGTAATTGTTGGGATGCCACGGAGGAAAACTCCGTGTTGCCTAGACCGCGGCCTTGCCCAACACAAGTTATAAATTCGGGCACCGCCGGGAATTGAACCCGGGACCCCAGGATTACGAGGCCAGTGTTCTTGCCTTTAATGTGATCATGCATCATGATGATTGTGGATACTGGACTTGGCATCATCATCAAGATAATGGCTATAAACATGTCAGTAAAACTGGAGATCGGTTACCAAGACCTTATTCCTGGTATGAACAAGATTTCTCTTTATACCTCCTTATCCACTCTCCTCTGTGACCCACTGTGGGTGCTCGATGACCTCGATGGCTTTCCCCAGTGACTGGTGTATGCAGTTAACCTCTTTTGCATACCTTGATCCTTGGTTTAGAATTTACGGGCTTTCACCTCTACACCTCATATACATCATCACGGAAAATTACTTAGGTACTGGGCAAAATTACCATTTATACTAAAGTCTCACCTTACTGTTCTATGGATGCTGGAATGTCGGCTCAAATTACTACCATGCGAGAACTGCTTGTTACATATTCCACATTTGTACGGTTTGACCCCACTGTGAATACGAGAATGATATTTAAGTTGCCAATTTCCTGCAAATTCTTTACTGCACACATCACATTTATATGGTTTTACGCCCGAGTGGGTACGAGAGTGTTTCCAGAGGTTGCTGCGTTGTGCAAACCGCGCATTACATACTTCACATTTGAATGGTTTCTCTCCAGTGTGCACTCGCATATGCGTCTTCAAAAGGCTGCACTGGGTAAACTCCTTCTTGCATATATCACATTTAAATGGCCGATCTCCTGTGTGGATACGCATATGTTCCTTGAGGTAAAGCAATTTTCTGTATCTCTTATTGCAAACCGTACATTTATGAGGTTTCTCCTCGTCATCAGCTTTGTCTGCTTGTCCTACCAGTGTGTCACTGTAAGAGGAAAACATGCAATGATGTTTTAATATTGTATGCATTTGCTGTAAGAACAGATGTGTGCTGCAGGGGGCTCAGAGGGGTTTGCACAAGCCCCTTGTTAATTTCTGGCTAATTATCCAAGCCCTCTGTTGTTGGCATGAAAAATATAAAATTATACAGGCAACACAACAGTATCAATATGTATCAAAATATTGATCTTATTTATCATTACTTCTAAATGGAAGGCGGGGAGATTAGCTTTCTGGTGTGAGCTCCTTGTTAAACTGATACTACACTTGTATGTAAGAATGTTAGTTTTCTTAAAAATAATACAATAATGTATGGTGAAATGTAATAGAATTCCTTTTAAAATAAATAGATATGCACATATAGCTATCATTTATTGATTCAAATCTGTGACTGTAAACAAAATAAGGAGGATAAACTTTTGTTCATACTGTATTTTAAGGTCACAAAATATTAGATCTAACCTGTCATAAATCATTTAATAATTATGTGCATGAATATAGCAGTGTGCATACATTTCCAAGTTATTTCTATCATAATTGCATTATAACCTGTGGTGCAATAAGGTAATATGCAATTAGCAATAACCAAAGCACTCACCTAGAGCTATGCTGGCGGTAGCATAGCTACTGGTAGGGCGTCCCTAGCCAGATTGGTCGAGGGGGAGAGGTCAGACTAAGACAGGTACCCTGGTCCTACAGGTTGGGGGTTGGTCGCAAGGCTAACAACCTTGCACCGTGAAAAGGAAGATGTTTCGAAACCTCGATCAAAGCCTCGGACAGATGGACCAAACAGAGGACTAAATGGAAGAGGAGAATTGAAGAGGCCATGGACCGAATACGGACCGGAGAGCCATAGAAGAAGAAGAAGAAAAATGCACTCACCTGTCCTGACATATATCATGTTCTTCCGCTGTTTCTTCATCATTTGACTCTTGATCCCTTGCCTCTTCTTTGATTGCTACAAAGCGCCATGGCTGTAACTGTAATAGATAGAAGATTTTGCCTACTAAAATGAGTATAATAATCAGAAATATGATCTGGTACCCAACTTATAAAACATATCCAGGCTTGAAGGCATTCAGAGTAAGGTTGATGTTGGTGGGCTTCTTGTACAAAATTACGCGGGGAGCCATCAGATCTGTAAGTATCAATTTCATCATAGCTCACTGCTGGACACACTTAACCTGCGTGTCTTACTCACCTTCTTGTCTTCCTCATTGGTGCCCTCCGCGGACTGTCCGAAAGGATCATCCTTTTCTTTGCAGTCAGCTTTACTGGGTGAAGACAGTGAACATATTTCACTATCTGCATGATGTTCCTCTTTCGTTTCATCTATGTTTTGCTGTGACACAGTATTAGTATTATCAGCAATTTTTGTTTGCTGCCATACTAGAAGTGACAATTTCATTAATTGAAAAATAATGTTATTTAAAATATCATCAGAATAAAACTATGAATATTCACTGATCAGTGAGATTACAGGTTTTCATGGTGATGGGTATGAAAAATAATAACAAAAGCTGGCCAACAAAAACTACTGAGGACCACAAATTTCTTGTCAGATGTTTCTGATAGTCAATTATATTCCTCACCTCTGTCTCTTCAGAAGAGATGCTGACTGGAACATCGAGTGGCTCTTCTTTCACATCTTGCTCAAAATCTTCAAAATCCAAAGACACTGTGTGCGCCTCAAGGTCAGGATCACATTCTACTTTAATTACATCCATTGCACGCTGTAAAATAATATTCTTTATATTTGTATCCATATGGGACAATTTTCACATTGGTGATGAGTTTATATTACTATGAAATCATTAAGAGCCTTTAATCACGTGCTTGATGTTACATTCAATACATAGTTATGTGTATATAATTATGTATGGACAGGGAAATGGTGCATCAAATTTGTGTGCATACATATTAATTTGGTAATGTAAATATTTTGAGGGCAAAGTAATACTCGTTATACATCTAACTAAAAATTGCTAATACTCTATGTATGATTAGTCCTTACTACAATATATCTTGTTCGTGGGATATGGTAATGAAAATTGTACTTGTTCCACATAATTCTCAAAGTATCTATGGAATGCATCTATAATCCATTGATATAACCGAATCGTTCTGCTGGGAAAGGAGCAAAACCTTCAACCTAGCTTCAGACTGTGTCAGGAAGGTGAAATTTGTATTCACAGATACAATGTTCACAGTTAACCTACAAATCAACTTACATTATCGCTATTACATGCACCACTCCAATACACACGCAACGCCAAAGTTACATATGTTACGCTTCCGACAATATATTGAGTTTATAGCTTAGTTCCGTAACTTTCCTTTCAAATCATTACATCAATATTTGCATAACAAACCCTTCCCCTAGTCTGTAAATATAAACATAAACAATCAATTCGAGTCAGGTATGCAACGATCTAAATCGATAAAGCGTTTCCAGGTTAAGAGATAATTTACATAACACATACGTTAAACTATAAACATACTATCGGCTGTGTGCATTAAATTAATTGAAGATCGTCACATTTAAACGCAGATACATTTATATGATATTAAGCATTATCGTTTCGATAGCCGTTATCATTTACACGTGTAAAAAATTACGGACAAGGTGCAGTCAGAAATTGTTTAAAATCCAGTAAAGCATCATAAAACCTTAGAAACGTTGGGAAGTTGTTACTCTTAAAATTGGTAATCCGTACTAATAAAAGGCATGAAAGCACGGGTACCATATCGACCCCCAAACACTGTACCTATCACAGCACGGGTTACATTCAAAAACTAACATCTATGGTCTCACACAAAGAATTGTGTCCTCACAAAGTCTGAATGTTTAGTCTGTGTTCGTCCATAACCTGTGGTGTATAGGGTAGGTGATTTGAATAAATTGCATCCAATGAAAACGAAGTGTGTATGATTTGAATTTGTGCAACGGACGTGTATTGATTGGGGGTTATGATGTTGTGAAGGCTGTGATAATTGTGTTTGGAAGTGAAAGGCGTTGATAACAAGTTATATATTTTACTGTTGTAACGTTATAAAAATGTCAGCCGAAATAAAAGTTGCCATTAAAGTCCGCAATTTAATAGAGAGAGAAGAATCGGAAGGTTTAATTATTCAGTGGGAAGTAAAAAATAATTCAATCTTCCAAAAAGATAGTGCTGGAAAATTAAAGGAGTGTTATTTATTTGGTAAGTTTCTTAATTATATGTCAAGCAATGTTTTTCATATTCTTAGACTTTTTGGTACTGTTTTGGTGAAGTTAATCTGACAACACAGTCGTAGTGTTGTGAAGAAAGATTTCACAATAGTGACATTAGTAATTTATCGTTTTTGAAACACGCCGAGTTTTATAGAAAGTGTTGTCAGCCATACTTATGGCATGTAATGCAACTGTATAGCATGTAAAGTTACAATACTATTGCAGGAAAAAGATATGAATTGTCTAAACCTGCCTGAATGTAATTTCTGGGTGTCTTGGAACCTGACATTCTAGAACTTTTTGGTCATATACAAAAATCATATTGTGAGATTTGTGGTTCTCATGGTGGCCAAACCTGAAGATGGCCGTCTTCTGGGTTGTTCCACCAAGTATCTTGGTGAAGATTACCAATGTTTCATAGGTGCTTGTTGCCTCTATCATCATGGATCCTCACCCTGATGATGGAGACAGCAAGCATCTTTGAATGCTAGCATGCTAGGTGAGCATTCTACTACTGCCAGACATGGCCCTGACTTTAACAAAACAAAAGTCATTGCCAACATCATCATCAGCTACCATCAAGTTATTCAAACACACACAACTTCTACTATGAAGATGGTTACAGGCTAAGCAAAGCCTGTCTTCATATGTTTCCCTCCAAACCACTGACTGTAACGCCCTCAAAATGGCATGTCCACCATCACCTCTCACTTGTATAGATGGTAAAGTTTGAAGAATAGTAAGTGCCTTTGCATTAATTTCAGAACTTTTTTGTCTATCTACTTTCTTACATTTTTCAGATCATGTCTTTGATCCCAGAATTAAGAATTTTGAAGTATTTAACACAATAGCAAGACCAATAGTTGATTCGTCTGTGGGAGGCTTTAATGGTACCATATTTGCATATGGACAGACTTCATCAGGTAAGATAAGTTACTTTAGGTGAAAACATTTTGATGGAATATATACATTAAGGAAATGTGGTGTAAAGATGTGAATTGGATTTACCTGGCTCAGGGGAGGTTCAGTGGTAGCCTGTCATTGACATATTAATGGATCTGTGGGTTTCATAAAAGACTGGAGACTACCTGATTGACTATTAGCTTTTCAAAGAAACCTGTTGTCTGCAGAAGTGTTTATAGTGTTTTAAACTAATTGTATATTTTAATTAATAGGAAAAACTTATACTATGATGGGAAGTCCAGATGAGCCTGGTATTATTCCACTGACAATTCAGTACATATTTGAAGCTGTAAACAAAGTAAAAGGACGTGAATTCTTGCTCAGGTATGAATTAATGGTGCTGTAATAATCTGATTGTAGTTTTAGTATGTATGTAATAACCAGAGGTAATGTAGAATTATTACATATAATCAAAACAAAGATGAGAAGTGTTCTTTGTCATCATATAAAATATTGTTCTAGGTTCAGGTTCTGGGGGAGTTTGAGCTACATTTCATAGAAAAGTGGAAAAATGTATGGCACATAAATTCATAGCATTGTATATTTTTAACCACATCCACATAATAATTTAACATAGGCTTATTAAGAAACATTTTTTTTAAATAATAAAATACTAGTGTAAACATATAGTGAAGTGAACAAATGCACATCATTACAGCTGGTGCTTTTCTGTGGTGATATGCACAGCAGTACACACTACCAGCACCTTTCTTCAAAATATATATAAAATGTTGAAAAATATGTTAAAATTGTTGGACATAACCTCAAAGTACCATCATCTTTTTCTTCTAAAGAAGCACCATCTAAAGTAGTGCAAGTTCTGTGGATGTTGCAACATATAATTATGTCATTACCTTGAAGTTCCTACTGTCTTGATGCTGATTATAGTAATGTAAAACAGTATCACTGACTTGCTCAATGCAACAGTCTTGAACAGGCTGATTGCGTTGTCTGCTGAACAAATGCCGATAAAAGAATGCCATTATAATGTGTTGTTAAGTACAATATTTGCATATGTCTGGATGGTCTTTCTAAAACTCATCACTGGCTTTAGTTTTTGAATTTAGTACAATGTGAATGATAGTTCATGGCCCAAGTACAATTGAATCATGCTTGGTATCAGGAAATATATGACAGCTCACATTCTCTGTTGTTTATCTGCTTTAAAATTTATGTATGTGAATATATATATTGTTTTCAGGGCATCTTACATCGAAATTTATAATGAGAAAGTAAATGACTTACTTGAAAAAGGTAAAACTGGACTGAAACTCCGTGAAGTGGAAGGTAGTGTCATAATTTGTGGTCTAAAAGAGGAAGTAGTTCATACTCCGGAGAAGGTAAAAATAATATTTTATGATTCTTTTCATTGTGAGTAAAAAATATACAATAAAATGTTTTAACATCTAAGGAACAAATTATGTTTTAAAAAAATATGTATTTGTGTTTTTATATTCCTTTTTTGAGTTTAGGTTATTATAGAAGAAATATGTAATTTATCTGTCTGCTTTTTAATTGTGCATATGATGTGAGAAAGGTTTTTTTTTAACAGTTTATGCACCTGATGAAGAGAGGAGAAAATATTCGGCGTTTTGGGGAAACAAACATGAATGAAAGAAGTTCTCGATCACACACAATTTTTCGAATTGTAAGTAAATTATGTATTGTCTTTGTTTCTTTTTTAGATAAATTGAAAATATCTGGAAATAAAGAAGTATAATTGGAACATAACAGAATTGTAATAATTTTCTGCTAGCCTCTATCAGTTTTACTTCTCAAGGACTCTGATTATGAGCATTAGGTAGTTGAATTTAAAAAAATGCTGAATTCAAGTATTTTATTGTTATCGTAATACGCTGTATCTTTTCTTGTAAGTAATCCTGTAATTTCATTAATTTTCGTCTAGATTATTGAAAGCCGTGTACCCAATGAGGGGGAGAATGGTGCCGTTCAGGTGTCGCATTTGAATCTGGTGGACTTGGCTGGTTCCGAACGAGTTGATCAGACGGGGTCAAAGGGTGATCGGCTTAAAGAAGGCTGCTCTATCAACCGTTCGCTCTTCATGTTGAGTCATGTTATTTCGCAGCTGAGCGAGGGACAAGAGTAAGCATTTTCAGTGTTCTATAAGCGAATGTGTAACTTACGTTCTATTACAGGAACTTTTACAACTTAATTTGCTGGTACTTTTTAACTGGAGTCCTAATATTCAACCAAATTCTGAACCAGTTCAGTTTAGGTCACACCCTGAGATCTGATGATCAATTTTGTTATTTTCTAAAGTATGAAGTCTGTGTAGTGTTCATAAGCATTTTTGCCTTGAATGGGTAACTGAGAAAAAAGTTGCCTATAGTCTGTCCTATCTTTAAGCTTAAATATTAACCAATTGCATTGCAGTCAATACGTGAGCTTCCGAGACAGCAAACTTACGAGAATACTTCAGTCGTCGCTTGGGGGGAATGCACATACTGCTATCATTTGTGCAGTTACTCCAGCTTCTATAGAGCAAACTGCAAGCACACTTGGGTAAGACGCACGCAACAGAAATTTCTCTGTGATTTGAACTATGATTATTTCATCTCGTGAATCACATGCTTTTATTTTTAATTGTGGAATTGTGAAAGCCGTTTATGTATTTAATGCATTCCACTCTGGTATTCTACACCAGTGGCCCCCAATGCAGTGCCCTCGTGGGGGCCAAGGCTTTTTTGGGTGCCCTTGTTGTTACAGAAAGAGGTCATACTGAATAATGAAGGCCGTTCAACCACGAACATCATAAAATCAAAGCGCAGATCTCGACTTACTGACGCCTGTCTTGACGATCATTTGCGAGCAGCAGCAACAACATCCTACACTCCCAAATTTGAAAAACTGGCCGATGAAATGCAGCGCCAAACATCGCACTAACTTCCCACTTGAGTAATAATAATTGTACTTATAAAACTACGTATTTTTGATCGCGCGGTTTCTTGTATCATTAAACGTCGTGTTGTTTTGTGTATTATTTGGTGTCCATATCTTATTTGTCCAGAGAAGAGAAAATTTGGCTTTGTTAATTGGTTGGTGCCCGCCACGATCTCATAAAGTCTCAAATGTGGCCGTAGGCACAAAAAGGTTGGGGACCACTGGTGTACACATTTCCGGAACCTAAGTGTCTTTGCATAGATAAATTTTTACTCAAGTTTGGTCTGGAATCTGGGGCTCTGAATGAGGTCTGGCATCTTACCAAAAGATTGGAAAATCTTGTGTTAAAACGTTTCCAGAATTAATCAGTAGTTTGGTTAAAGGCCTCCGTGTAAAATTCTGTAAGCCGCCATTTCCACTCCGCTAACTAGACATACATTTCTTGTTTCATAGTTTTGCATCAAGAGCAATTCGTGTCAAGAATAAACCACAGGTTAATGAAGTGTTATCTGATGCAGCGTTACTCAGACGCTATGCTCGACAGATTACTAAATTACAGACTGAACTGGAAGTAAGTATAATTTTTTTCAGTGTATGTGATGCGCATCATGAATTGTCAGTATCTCGTGTATGATCAGTGCTATATTAACATGTTTTTTCACAAAATATTTTCTTGTTTGTGAGTACTCTAGGGAAATGAAAATTGTGTGGTTTTAATTATAACAGTATGTTTGTTCATCCATTGGCTGATGTTTGAATATGTACTCCTACGGGTTAGATTTGATGTAGAAGTTAGTTCACTGTGATTTTGAAGAAAGAATTGTTATTGTTTCTTCCAGAAAACAAAAAACACAAACAGAATCGATGAAGTAGAAGAAATAGAAAGCAAACTGCAAGAGCAACAGCGACACAACGAACTTCTACAGGAACGAATAGACCTTCTAAAAGAGAAGCTGATTGGATGCGCTGCAACTGACACTATAGCCATGGATGTAAAAATCTTTTCTTTAAGTCCCCAGCCTCCCCCCCCCCCTTCATTTACAATTTTATATATAATATTTCAGTTATAAATACTTTAAAATATAGGAATCTTTAATTATGTTTAGAACCTCTTTTGTAGTTTGTGTCATTTTACACAGAAAAGAAGAGAACTTCGAAGGAGGACTTGGTGTGGTCGCGCTTCTCGAAAATCTGTATTTCCTAATATGCCCCTTGAAACCGTCGATGAAGGGGCAACAAGCATGTTGCCAGTCTTCAAACAAGAATATCTGTCTTCTTCAATACAGGAGCTGACAGGCAATAGTAAGGCTATTGATATTTTACATTGAGTATGCATATACATAGATGCATAACTCACGCTAATATTTGTGTTAAAAAATTAAATATAGTATTAGTTGTTAACAAACGACTATATTTGTTTTAACTCATGCATTTCGCAATGGTCACAAAATAAGCATTTATATGTTGCAGTAATCGTGAAAGTTTCCGTACCCTAAGTGAGTTACGGACAGAATTTCTTGTTACATCTTGGTTTTTTGTGTTTTCTATGCTCAAAATACATAAAGTAAGAGCATAATGAGAAGTTCATGTTTGTATGTCTGCGTACTCACCACCTTCCATGTTTTATCTCTGAACCTATGTAGTGGATTTAAATAAAATTAGCACCCTGATGATGGAGGAAGTAAGCTCCTCTGAAGCATTGGTCAGTATCTGTGAGACTGCGTGGCGCAACATCCCAGAAGGCAGCTATGTTCAGAAGTTAGATTTTAATGTGGCTGTAAACATGAAGTTAAGTGTAATTATATGCCACTTCGAGAAAGATTATATGAGTTTTGTGGTATTGAATTGTGTGAAGTTGTATTCTTTTTTCTTTTTTTATCTCTCTAAATGAAAGGTAATTTGCAGATGAATTTTATCTTAATGTACGTACATTTAATTCATTTGCTTCCAGCATTCTTCGAAACGCCATTAGAAGAATTTGAATTGCAGCTAATGCATGCCGAAAGTAGATTGTCTCAAGACAGTATCGTATCACCTGAACGTCCATCTTGTAATATCACAGTTCGTAAGGGTAAAAAACAGCATGTCACGTTTGAAGACCAAGCTGAGTACACTGGATATCAATCCAAGGACACAGTAGAAATGGGTTCCCAAACAGATGCTTTTCCCATAAATTTGTAAGTATAGCAGAGCCGAAGCGTGGCATGTGTTGAAAACGTGCAATTAATTTAGAATAAAATATTAGATAAAATAAAGACAAACTTCATTTTTCAATTCGCAAAACATTTACACATGTAAAAAGTAAAAGAATTTTCTGAAAAAGGTAGCTTGTTCTTCCATGATGTCCGTAACCTCTTTTTTTTGAAAAATACTGTATTGAGAAAAGCACCTTGAATTACAAAATATTTTCTGATTGGAGAAAGATATGTAGAAAGTATTTTTACTGATATTGGATGTTATTCTGAGCATATTTAATAATTTCAATAATTTGTATTTCAGTTCCAGCCATTCAACTGACACACTACAAAGTAATTTTAATGAAACGCCCCCTCGTGTTCTGAGGGAACGTATCAAACACTATCAAAAGGAATACGATGAGCTCCGAGACTTTACAGTCCTTGAGAAGCAGATATACAATGTTGGCTCTTACAAAGAGGTACGTACAGTACTTCGTGCAAATTCTCATTCTTAATTAAATTATTTGATTGGACTGAATGTTACGTCCGGTGTGAACTGAATTTTATTCATTTTAATTAAATATTGTGTATTTTTTCCTTCCTCCCCTGAATGATATAGGGATGATGTGAAGATATGTGGTAGAAAGTGGTTGTGTGCCCTGTTTTGTATCACCCCATCACTTGCCAGGAGTGATGGGAAAACCATTGGTAGATGTTTCAGAATACCCATTGCCCTGGCTAACACTTGAAACAGTCGGTCATATTTTGAATTGACATGTTTGGGCTTGAGCTAGATAATGCAGAGTAGACGTGGAAACTGTGGTAAAGATTGGAAGTAAAACTGACTTCAATGTGCACACTTCCATATTCTTGGATATAAGCTTGATTTAAAATATTACGAGCAGTTGTTGTCGTTTGTTTTAGTTAAATCAACTTGAAACGGAGAATAGACACCTGCAAAAGTCCATCGGTGATCTGGAGGCAATGATTCTCGATGTGAACTGCACCAACTCTAAACTTTCTGGCGAAAACAAGTCCTTGAAAGAGAGACTTGAGAAAGAGTCAGAAAAATGTAATGATTTGACAGGCCATTTTCAGACATTACATGAAACGGAAGCAGCGTTATCAGAAAGGTCGCAAGAAATGGTAACTTTGAAGAAGCAGTTGGTAAGCTTACACAAGTTTGAGAATGATTTTGAAGTACAGTGTATTTTTATATATATCCATTACTTCAACCAACTTCCCCTTTTGTCTTTGCTATTATTGTTTCTCCCCCTGTATAACTATGATGAGGTGATCTCTTTTTGCAGAATATGGCAAACCAGAGAATAAAACATTTGGAAAATGAGAAGAATGATTTTGATATGATACGAGAACTGGCCGAAGGAAATTTAAAAAGGAGGAATGAGGAATTAACTCACAGCTTGGAGGCATGTTTTGATTTGTATTACCGATGTATTTAGAGACTTGGTCACGTCTTAGCCAGAGCTATGACCTGGCCTAATTTTTAAGATTTGGGGTATATAATGGTGTCTGGACTTTGTGTATTTAAGCACAGTGCAGATACAGTAATAACAGATACGTTGGTATTACTCAAATTTGTGTCTGCTAATGTGAGACATGAAATATTTATCATTTCCTTGCATTCATTTCTCCATCTGTGTGAATGTTACGATTTTGTTCAGGACAAGGACTGGTAGATTTTCAAGAAATATACCTTGGCTGATAACAGTAATGTCATTGTAAATAATCTCACTTTTAATTTAGTGATATTACCAGTAGTAGCGCTTAAGACGCTGAAATGTATTTTTCCACAATAGTTTCGTCTTGGATGTCACCTTTATTTCAGTACTGTCCTATAATCATGTACTTGTTCCCAGAACCACCAAGGGATGTATTTATTTCAAGATACGCCACTAACATACATTTCCCTTAATGAAACCATAAACCTAAAAGTAAATGCCGAAGGGTTTATAATAATTGTCAGATCTCTTTGCAGTCCCTATATATTCACAGTTAAGCATCCAGGCATTTTTTCGTGCACTTGTAGTTTCCTGTGTGCCGACGTAAGACTGGAAGTTTAAATAACTTTTTTTTTTTTTCAACTTTAGAAGTAATTTTGGCAGAGTAACATGAATTTTATTGTTGATGTTAGTCCTCCAGCTACGTTGACGATAATATATTTATCTCATTGCAAATTTACTTCATTATATAATGTATATGAATTTCAAATCATTGCCATGATTTTAGTGTTTATTTTCAAACATTGTGTTTCAGGATGCATTGATGAAACTAAAAGAACTCCATCAAAGTGGCAGTAATGTATTAACAGACGACATGAATAAACATATCCAGACCTCGAAAGAAGAGGATGATCATGTCGCAGAACTGAAACACAACAGCGAAGAATTGACCGGGATAAGTACGTGTACTGTTGATCTAAACAAATTACAAGATGAAATGAAGGTCTTGAGGGAAGAGAATTCTATGTACATTCAGGAATTGAAGGAAAAGAATACATACCTAGAACAGCTGAAACAAGAAAATGAACAGCTAAAAGTGAATGACTTAAGCGCACACTTGGACAGTGCGAAAGAGGAGTTGAATTCACTGCAGGAAATCAATTTATTGTACGTTGGACAGCTAAAGGAAAAAGATGAACATCTTGAAATGCTGACAAAACTGATCGAAGAACTAAATTCTGAGAAAGCAGAAAGTGTAAAGGACATTCATGACTCAAAAGAAAATAATGTTTGTCAGGTGGAACAAAATGGAAATTTTGCAGAAATTGGCACGTGCACAAGTGATTTTGTAGCACAGGAAGACGATTCAGTGTATGGAGGACACCGTGCATATGTTGAACAACTGGTGGAAAAGGATAATTATCTTGAAATCGCGAAACAAAGTATTGAAGACCAGGATTCTGTAAAAGATGCTGACTTGAAGGATGTAGAACAGTTGCAGGACGAGATTAGATGTCTTGAACTGCTGAAAATGGATAATGAACAGCTGAAGGAACAAAATTTGTTGTACATTGAACAGTTGAAAGAAAAGGATAGAAGTCTTGAAATATTGAAGCATCAGATTGAAGATTTGAATTCCGTAAAAATAGCTAATTTAAAATATGTTGATGAATTGGAAGAGATTGATTTTACTGGGCACAAAGAAATTATTTCGCTCGAGGAAGATAATTCTATGTGCATTGAGAAACCAAAGGAAAGGGATGATTATCTTAAAATGCTGACACGACAAATTGACGGTTCAGATCCTGTAAAGAAATATAATTTCAACTACAATGAACAATTGCAAAAGAAGGAAAAATGTCCTGAGGTGATGCTTCAACAAAATGAACTACAGGGAACAAACACAGAAGGGCTGAGCGGCGTGCAAGATGACACAAAGTCTGAGGAAGGGGATAATTCCCTTCATACACTGACACAACAGACCAGAGACTCGGATTCTGCGAAAGAAGCTAATTTTAAATGCTTCGAACAACTGCAGGATACATGCCTTGGACAGTTGACACAAGAATTTGAAGAGCTGAAGGGAAGTTTATTAAACACTCAGGAGATGAGTAGCATTCGAGATGAAGTGAAGTCTGTGGTTGAAAATAATTTGACAGGTAATGAACAATTGAAAGTAAAGGATGAATGCCTCGAATTGCCGGAAAAGAAGATTGACCAAAATATAGAACTAAGTATTACAGAAAGGAAACGGAATGAAGAAAATTTGTTCCATGCTGAACAGTCGAGGGAAATCAGTAACCATAATGAAATGCTGAAACATCATATTGAAGACTTGGACTGTATGAAAGTAGCTCATATCAAATGCATTAATGAACTGAAGGAAAAAATTATCAGTTTGCACAAGGAAATAAATATGTTGAAAGATGAGAATTCTGTGTATATTAAACAGCTGAGAGAAAAAGATGACTATCTTCAAGTTCTGACGCAACAGATCGAAGAACTGAATTCAACAAGAGAATCTGATTTGAAGTGCTCTGATGAATTTAAAGAGAATAATATTAAACAGCAGGATGAAATTGTTTTCCTAAAGGAAGAGATTTCCAGCTACCTTGAACAGTTAAAGGAAAGAGATAATCATTTTCAAACACTAAAACAGCAGATTGAGGACATGAATTCTGTAAAAGAATTTAATCTGAAATGTATTGATGAATTGAACTTAAATAATATCAGATTGCAGGAAAAAATTAATTGTCTGAACGAAGAGAATTCAATGTACAAGGAACAAATTATGGAAAAGGATAATAATCTTGAAACGCTGCATCAGCAGATTAGTGCCATAGGCTTTGTAAAAGAAGCAAATATCAAGCAAATTAATGAATTGAAAGATTTCAATGTGTCTGTGCAAGAAGAAATGTATTCCATGAAAAACGAGAATTCTACGTACATTAAACAGTTGAAGGAAAAAGATAATAATCTTGAAGCACAAAAACAACAAATTGAAGACTTGAATTCTGTAAAAGAAGATAATTTGAAGTCTGTTGATGAATTGAGAAAGAGTAATGTCGGAATGCAGGAGGAAATTGATTCCTTGAAGAAAGAAATTTCTATGTACAGTGAACAACTGGCAGAGAAGGATAATTATATTGAAACACTGAAACAAGAGTTGAAGGCCCTGGACAATGTAAAAGAAATTAATATCAAATACACTGACGACTTGAAACAGAATTACGTCAATGTACAGGATGAAATTATGTCTCTGAAAGAAGAAAACTCTACGTACATTAAACAGTTGAAGGAAAAAGATAATAATCTTGAAGCACATAAACAACAAATTGAAGACTTGAATTCTGTAAAAGAAGATAATTTGAAGTCTGTTGATGAATTGAGAAAGAGTAATGTCGGAATGCAGGAGGAAATTGATTCCTTGAAGAAAGAAATTTCTATGTACAGTGAACAACTGGCAGAGAAGGATAATTACCTTGAAACACTGAAACAAGAGTTGAAAGCCCTGGACAATGTAAAAGAAATTAATATCAAATACACTGACGACTTGAAACAGAATTACGTCAATGTACAGGATGAAATTATGTCTCTGAAGGAAGAAAATTCTGCGTTCATTAAACAGTTGAAGGAAAAAGATAATTATTTTCAAACATTAAAGCAACAAATTGAAGACTTGGTTTCTGTAAAGGAAGCTAATTTGAAATATATTCAACAACTTGAAAAGGATAAATATGCTGAAGTCTTCAGAACTGATAATAATGAAAGAAGCTATGATAATGGTGTTTTTACAGCAGAAGTAGATCACTGCAGGAAGGAACTTCCAGCTGAATCGAGCGTAATTGATAAGAGCATTTCAGACATGTCCTATGAGATAGCATCATGCCGAAGGGCCATACTGAAAGAGATCAGATGTCTTAAACCCAATTATGATGTAGAGTCTGTAAGTCAGGTTTGTCTTACAAAGTTATTGAAAATATTACTGAAAGTTGTAATGGAGAAGGAAGAGGAAGTGCTGCACGTGTTCCAAGTGCAGATGGATGAAGTGTGCGCTAAGGCCAGTGACTATGAAAGGGAGTATGCTGATAAAGACAGACGCAAAGATTGCTGGGTTAGAGAGCTTGAGACAGAAGTTGAACGTCTTCAGGCAGAACTGACCAGGATTGAAGAAGAAAATAAGGCATTGAAAATGGATGATCATTTAGATTACATTAAAATCTTAGAGCAAGAGAAAGCTGATTTAATAAAGACAGTGAGACAGTCTGACAGTGACTTGGCAATCGTCCAAATAGAGGTGAATAGTATGAATGAGAAGATGAAATCTTGTGACAAAGACGTGGCTAAAAAGATGGAGGATCTAGAATTTCTTGTGGAAGAGAAAGATTCCCTGATATGCCAGCTAAAGGAGGAACTCGAAAGTCAATTAAAGAAGCAGGCGGACGTGGCGGTATTAAGAAAAGAAATTTTTGGCTTGGAAGAAAGCAATGCTGTGCTTAACGAAAAACTGGAGAAGAGGAATAATGACAGTAGTTTGTTATTAGAAAAGTTGGAGGAGCTTCAGTGTGCTGTGTTGTCGGAGAAGAATAAAACACAGGACGTAATGGCAAAATTGGGTTCGTTAGAAACGGAGTTGAAGTCGTTGTCCAGGAAGAACTGTGACCTGATAGAAGAAATGAATGCTAACAAAGAAGTTCATTCGATTTTATTGAAAGAGAAGGAATGCAGTTCTGAAATGACGTTAAATCTTAAAAGAGTTACAGAAGATTTAGCAACGAAGCAAGATGAACTAAATTCAGAGAGAAATCTCCGATGCCAGCTTGAAAAGGATGTGGCCATTGTAGTTAAAATGAGGGAAGAAAGTGGTCAGTTACAGATGCTACAGCTGGAGGACGGGCTACAGAAACAAAAAGAATTAGCTATGAAAAATGAGAATTTGGCTGTTTACATTACAGAACTTAAAGATGAAGTTAAGAAACTTAGAGATGAAAACGTAAGTTTAAGAGCATCTTTTGAAACATTAGTTGCTGAGAAAGATGGCATAAATAGTGAAATAGACGATTTGAAAAAACAATTGGTTATGTGCCTGCAGGAAAAGGCTTCTTTGGCTGCAGATTTCGTTCGTTTGCAAAAATACGTGCAACAGCAGCAAGACGCACTTCGCAATGAAAATAGGAGTTCAATTGACGAGACAGATAATTGCGCCCAGAATCTGCATTCAGAAAGCCAGTCGCTTAGTGCGAGACTGGCTGACGGGATGGCACATGAAAATTCTGAGACCGAATTAAAGAAACTAAAAGAAAAGCTGGAAATCTGCATGAAAGAAAAACTTGCTCTGGACGATGAAAATGAGCTTCTGGTGACTCGAATCCGCGGCCTTGAGAACATGCTGGAAACATATTGTGTGATTAACAACGGTTTGGAAAAATCTAAGGGAGTTCTAGAAGAAGATAAAAGGAGACTTCTGTCAGAGCTTAGTGATTCACACAGAAGACTTTCGGATGCTGAGAGTGAAATACGGGAATTAAAATTAAAATCTCCTGCTCTAAAGGATGGCAGTGTTTCACAAGAAAATAGTATCCTTCATTGCAGTGTAAAAGAACTTCAAACAGAAAATGAAAGTCTTCGAAATAGAAATGAATTATTGTTTCAAAAAAATCAAAGTGCCAACCAAAATATTGCTGCACTTCATGCGCAGTATAGACAATTAGAGACACACCTGGCACAGAGGACACATGTTGCGAAATTATCTGTGGCTACCAACACCGATATTTCAGGTACGGCATATTATATATACTTCACATAAAAAAGTGAACAAATTTGAAATAATAACTATTTGCTGTCTTCTGAAACTACTGATTCTGATTAACTTTGCCATTTGCATCTGCACTGAAAATTTTATGATGAATTTAAGTTTCCACTGCCACATATTTCATCAGTTTTTCCTCCACCTCTCTGTATCTCTTTTTTATTACTATTTTTGTTCTTGCGATTAATTTTTATTGTAGGCTCTTGCCAGTGCAAGGAATTGGGAAAACAAGTCCAGGAACTGAAAGTCATAAATGCGGAGAGGAATAATAGAATTGGGATTTTGGAACTGCAGGTTAAAGCAGAAGATTTTCCACATCGGCAGAAAGTCAAAGAATTGCAAGATAGTCTTTCGTTCTACCAGAGCAAGGTGAGGGAATGATTATTTAATGAAATTAAGGTACATTACAAGATCATCATCATCCTTTCCCGTATTAGGCCGCGAGGCCTGTTACGGTCCTGTATTTTCTGTCCATCTCTTCTGAGGTCGGCCGAGAGATCTTTTCCCAGCAGGGCGGTATTTCAAAATTGCCTTTGGGAATCTACTGTTGGTCATTCTGTCCACGTGATTTGTCCAATTTTGTTGATGTTGCCAAATGATGTTCATTGCAGGTTCCTCAAGTTTGGTGTATCCCGCAGTTCTTCTCACGAATCTCGTTTCGCAAGCTGTTATTCTGCTAATATCCTGTTTTTTTAAAGTCCAAGCTTTGCTTCCATACGAGAGGACAGGTCTCGCGAGAATGTTGTAGAGGCATAAGTGGGTATGTTTCTGAACATGTGAGGGCTCAAAGACATCGATAATACCCATTGTTTTCGTGTATTCATTAATTTTTTGTGAAATATCCCTTTCGTCTTTAAAGGCTAAATTATATCCCAAATAATTAAATTCATTCACCCTTTCCAGAATTTTATTGTCTAGACATATTTACATTGCAAGATAATGATATAAATCATTGTTATGTGGTACATCAGTATGGCTGCCCCATATAGAAATCTCAGTACCAAGAAATTTCAAATGCGTATGAGGTTACCAGAAGTTTTTGTGAATGTTTTATGCGATGGAAATGATACTACTCAGTTATTTGGCTTCAATGTTTTCCTGATGAGTAAAGTTGCAAACAATATGTAAGATTTGAGGTTTTCACAGCGGTGAGTATGAAGATTTCATCGCCCTGATGACGGAGGCAGTATGACCTCTGAAACGTTGGTTGACATTGACCAGACTACACAGCGCAACAACCCAGAAGACAGAAATCTGCGAACAATAATTATTCTTGCATTTCTTTCTTACACAGAACATGGAGCTTAAGACAGACTTACGCCGGTTGCACAAAATTTTAAAACATTCAGAACAAATCTGCGACAGCTGTAGAAAGCGAAATTCTGTCAAACCGAAACACGTCGCTATACAAACGGATGAAGTCAAGGATGAAGATTTCTCAATGGCTGGCGGTGGTGGAAGCGGAATTATAAGGGTGTGTATTCTGATTCACAGTGAAGCAGTGTTTTGTTATCGGTTGTCGTACAGGCAGAAATTTATCAGTGGTAGCATAAAATACTAAATCTGTATGAATCAGGTCTGTCTCATATAAAATGATAGCTGCATGGAAACTGTTCCTGATGTTTGATGATTATGCATTATTATGTTATTTCTTTCTCCGTTTTATTCCCTTTCACGTGACAGGAGGACCAACTGATGAAGATGCGAATTAGGATCCGTGAACTGGAAAGCAAGAATGAAATGCTCAAGGAATTATGCAGATCAAGACGGCAACGAATTTTAGAGCTGGAAGAGATGCTGGAGGTTCATCTTAGATCGCGCGACAAGAAGAAAGAGCATGTATCAGAATTGAGAGACGTGCAGGTAGTCGAGAGACCGAGTAATCGTGCCGATTCATTGAGAGACGCGGGACAGGTACAACGCAGCCAGGAGTTCGGCAGCGGTCCGGTTAATGTCGCGGCTGGTAATAAAGAGAACTTCCTAGAGAGTCACAAAGCCCTAATGAGACAGAGGAGAAATATGTACAGCAAGAACTATAAACCTGATGTACGAAGGTAAGTTGTTGGTAATGAATCGTGAGGTGACAGACCTATTCTCCGTAAAAAGTTCCTTGCATCGAAGCCTGTGGCATGTCATTAATTTAATAAACAGTTTTTAGGACGTGGACATATTAAAAGAATGGTGTGTATGTGTGTGGAAGGTCAAAAGAAATCTTGCATCATGTGTCGGGGAAATAATACTTATAGTTGCGGACCGCTGTTTGCGTACTTTACAGGAACGAAGGGTTAGAATTTGATGTTATAAATGTTGCTAAACATTTCCGCCAAATCTAAAGAGCTAGATTTGACGCAAACCACAACAGCGGTCCTTATTTAAAGTGTCGAGGATTTTGTAGTTATTTTTGAGGTTCGTAATGTTGTCTCCATTGTACAGAGAAAAGTTTTCATTGCTTGTTTTGTTTTTGTCCCATACAGGCCCTTGAACGAGAATATCTCAGGTATTCAAGATTCGGACATTTCTTTCGAGGATTAAATATTAAAGACCTACTTCTTATGCATTGACATCTAACATTTTCATAATTCTAAGTGATATCTTAACATATATATATATTTTATGTACAGTTCTGTCATTTTTTATGTCTCAAATAAAAATTGGTTTTAGTGTTAAACTTCATGCATTTTCTCAACTATTTCTTGGCTTAAATTTTTGAGAATGTGTATGAGTGTTATTGTTATATGGTGACTTGTTTCAACTCATCTTCAGACTACATGGTGCAATAACCCAGAAGACAGCCATGTTCTTAGTCATTGCAAAGAGAACCTCAAATCTAGTGTTTAACTAAGACATTTGTACAGGTTATCAGACAGTTGGATGAAATTTGTTGGATTTTATGAAGATATAACTAAGTGTTTTTTATATTTATAGGCCCTCAGATTCGAACTCTGGCTACTTGGATTGCTTTCTGTGAATCTAGAATTTTTGTTACTTCACATTCATTTCTCAAGTTTAGTTTATGTACGGCCTGCAGTTCATTTATCAACAGATGGGGTACATTTATATACTCTTTATATTATTTATTTATAGTAACGGGATCATTGCTGAACATTTATTGCCCCATACTACGCTCTTAGTTGTAAAGGGTTGGGTGGGGGTGGTCTTACGCCCGCAATGCATCGTCGTCATTTGTTTCGCGTGTCCGTTCTATGACGTCACTTCTTGTTATGTGTTGTGCAGTGGTGGTTTGTCTGTTTGATAACCTTCAATATTGCTTTACCCCACAAAATAACATGTGTTAATTTTATATTATAAAGACACTAATGTACAGTATATAATAGTGTAATTATTCTCTTGGTTTGCCCTTTAACATTCTTGTTCCTCGCATAGCAGTGGATGGTACGTAAATTCTAATATATTTGAAACAATGATTGGTCGTGGCTTATTTTAAGGCGTTGCATCGGGGTTTGAAACAGCGGACAACTAAAATACAAGATGGTCGTATTCTGGGTTGTAGCGCCATGTAAAGTGGAAGAAGTTTGCCAGTGTTTCAGAGGTCCATGCTACCTCCATTATCAGGGTGATGACTCGTCTTCGGACTTACCGTCTTGAAAACTTCAAATCCTGCCTTATAATTTCGAATTTTTAAATCAGGAACGCACTTTGACGTCTGCGTGTATAGTGTCTGATTTAGTTTTGAATGCTATATAAAAAATATTTTTTTACTGTACGCCACTGGATATCAGTTGCATTGGTTGACACTGACATCTTCTGGCCTGAGGTTAAGACAATGCGATACGACCAATCGCATTTGGAGTCGTTGCGGAACCAGCGGGAGGGATAGATGTGTTTCTGCCTGCTTGCCTGTCCTGCAATTTTTGTGTATCGTGTAATGTGTTAATACATCATCCAGTATCGTAAGTTGCATCAACTAGACGATTTGCAAGAATTGTTTATTTATGGTTCAGGAACTCATTAACATTAGTTTGTTGTTACACCGAGTTGGACATTTAGTTAAAAAGATTTGTGTCCATTTTGGCATTTTTTTTGTCGTGATACGAAACTAACAAAGTTCGTAGCTGTGTGTTATGGCAGAAACATGAATATTAAAACTAGCGTGAATTGTAATATGCCCGAGATTATTATAGAAATGGTTTGTAAAGTTCGTAATCAAGTTTCATCATCAGACGTTTCGGTTGGTTTGTCTGTTGCAAATCATAAATTATGTAATTAAAGCTATACGATTAGTGTAAATTAACCTAATCGATTCTTTGTAAAATTGTAGCCATTTTGAATCCTTTGTCATTGGTTGTCCATCCCTCTAAAAGTAAAGTAAAGTTTGTCCCACTATACGCCATGTAGGCGTTTGGGGTGAGTGGAGGTATAGCTCCTCTCTTCCTTGACCTCGGCACTAGATGGGGGTGATTGGTCAGCATCACGCCCCGGCCGGCTTTACCCCCGGGAAAGGACCCCGGTACCCATTGTAGAGGAGGCTGAATTTCACTCGTAACCTATTTGGTTCGAATCCCGACCTGCTACTTTCTATCTTTACTGAACTTTTCGTGGTTTTATTCGATTTAATTAGGCTTGACTGGTCACGATAGCTTCCTTCCAATTTTCAGTGCATATATTTCATTTCTCGACACTGCATAACCTCTTAATAGTTATTACATACACACAATAGTCTGTATGCAACATAATAAGCTGTCTTCCATTGCAATAATGCGATTTCATTGGTGACCAATAACTGAAATTTTTTTGGCTTGTTTATTATATTACAAATTTTCGCTTGTCAATGACAAGATGCTATATCGGCCTGTTGTTTTAATGCTTTGCAGTTCCTCAAAGTATCCTGAAGAATAACTTTACAGTATTTGGCCCGTTGTGGGCATTTGACGGTGTTGTGTTGAAGACCTGTTCCAAGCGTCATACATGTTTTGTGTGTTCGTATCGGAGCTGCTTGCAACGTATGTTATTATTTTTACAGTTTGAGCGTATAACAAAGAAAAGTATAATTGGGCTCAGTGTGCATTAGTTTTCTTCTGCATACGCGGTCAATGATTTTATCCTTTGTTTGCAGCCAGTGATTACGCGTGTCTAGATGACAAGATTAACAGTGAATTTTCGTTCGGGAGATGGTAACACTTACATAGCATTTGGTCTGGCGTCAGTCTTTTGTCACGTATCGTAACGCGTTCTTGATCACGTACTTCGGTTACAGTCAGTTTTTAGTTTAACTTTTATATTGACTGTGTCCAAAATTAAATGATGTCGAAAACACGAAAAGAATAATTATGAATTTGTGATGCTGGGGGCAGTCACACTGTATAAATAAACAATCAAATAAGTTATTAAATGCTTTGAACAGTCGATAGATGTCCCATTTTACGGAAAGCGAAACTTCAGGTCTTACAAACGAAATGCTGCTTCGAAATCGTGTTACGGGCTTTCATGACAGTCTAAACGGAATGTGAATGAAATGTTAGAAATATTGTGACACTAGTAGTGTTTAAAATTATTTCACATTCATTAATTACGTAAACTGAAACAAAATGTTGATATCATTAATATATTAATTAAGATTAAAGGACTGTGTGACATGACGTTTGTTTGTTCAGTACGTTGTTAGATTTCATTCTTATTCTGAAAACGGCAGTGACGTCACGAATATGAAGCATTAAAGTGACGTCGAGTTCGAATTGAAAAATATGTTATGGCAACTTCCACATATGAATTTTACAAATTACCTTCCTATCTTAATAACTAACACTCTAACAAAACTATTATTTATTTCTTCTTCCAGTTTTTTGATTCTTTCCTCATGCATGGCCGGCAAATACTAACATTACATGATTTGTTCATTCATATGTGCCCATTGCCATACTAAACTGCTTAGGATTTTTTTCTAAAAAAAATATGATTTTTCTCTCTTGAAATATCAGTGCGTTTATTAGATTACTTTAATTTTCTTTTCTAACACAGATTTTGAATTAAAACAAACGAAGTTCCATTTCATAAATTTTCTTAGTTATATGCGGTTCGGCAAGAGTTCGCACAAAAGCTACAGTTTATTTCTAACATGTCCAGAAATTCTAAAAACATCGCACTATCATTTTAAAACTTCATCAAATGCCAAACGACAGTCTTTCTACAAATCGTCCTGTTTCGCCCAGGTTTCTTATGGTCTTCTTCAGGAAGAATTATAAATTTAAAACTTAGTGAAATGACAGTATTCCTACAAATCGTCCTGTTTCGCCCAGGTTTCTTATGGTCTTCTTCAGGAAGAATTATAAATTTAAAACTTAGTGAAATGACAGTATTCCTACAAATCGTCCTGTTTCGCCCAGGTTTCTTATGGTCTTCTTCAGGAAGAATTATAAATTTAAAACTTAGTGAAATGACAGTATTCCTACAAATCGTCCTGTTTCGCCCAGGTTTCTTATGGTCTTCTTCAGGAAGAATTATAAATTTAAAACTTAGTGAAATGACAGTATTCCTACAAATCGTCCTGTTTCGCCCAGGTTTCTTACGGTCTTCTTCAGAAAGAAGCTAAGTGACCAGTCCATCACAACCTTCCTTTTATTTTTTGTATGTTTAGAGAAACAAAATATTTGCTTTTGAACAATCCCTTTGCCCTTAGAAGCCCTTTATAAAAACGTGTATTACATGAGGCCTACGCTATTTTAACGAGTAGGCCTAAGGTAGCTTCACGATATAATTTATTTGTTTTCCGAACGGACGCATTTGTGCATAATTCTCAAGTCAAAGCACAAAATTAAGAAGCAGCTTATCTCTGTGGCAGGCAGGCAGGCAGGTTGGCAGTGCGTGGTTCGCGAGTGTCATTTGGACAGGCAGCTTTTTCAAAACAACTGTATAATTGTCTTTTTTCATCACACTGAATTGACTGTCGTAAGACTTTATACAAAATTAGCATTACGTTAATTGTTGCACTAATAATGACATTTTCGCTGTTGATTCAAAAACGGTTATTAATGCAGTGTTACAGACTGATTATATCACGGATTTCAAAGCCCCTTAGAGATCGCATGAATTCGGTATTGTCCGCGGTTCAGAATTTCGAGAATCGACTACGCGTTCGTCTTCACGTTACGTAAGAATAAAGTGTTTTGCTGTGACTTTGTGCGTGTGTTTGTGATAAGTGTTGTGCCATTTCCTTGGATTATCAGCGGCAGACGTCGAACCGGGGACCACGACAAGAGGAGCAACGCGCAAAGAGTAACGTTAAGAAGACAAAAACCAGTGTCGGCCGAACCCCTAGAGTTTGAGGACCCATCCGCTGGAGGATGGGCTGGGTGCTCGCGGCAAATCTTGTACGCCATAGCATCGGCACGGTCTTATCAAAGCAGCCAGGCCCCAGGTTGCCAACGATAACCACGTCGGTCCGTGCCAGGCAACTTGTATTTGACGCGGCGCCCGCAACGACCAAGGGCATGTTAGGTTAAGGTCAAGTTGGCAACCCTGTGCACTTTATACTTTTTTTTATAGTTTGTAAGTGTCCTCCCTGCCCTCCCCGATAGGTGCCCATGTTAGGTCGCGTGAACTTAGCTTTTGTGTCCATGGC